GTTTGTTTCCACCTTCAGGTTGCCCATGGTCACTGCTTAAGACTAGATGCACACACCCACTTCTAGAAGCAAAATAACCAACACCAAGCAAAGCCAATAACCCTACTGGACCACAGGGCTGGTGGAAGGAAAGAAGAATACATATGCCAAACAGTTCTTGTTGCCACAGTGTGATCTCTGGATTTTCTCTGTGGCTTCATTCTTAGTCATGTTACAAGTGATTCAACTGAAGACAGGTCCATAGGAAGGCCAAGGCTATCAAATGTAGGCCTTTAAAAAGGGGAGGGGGGAATACTGTTTTCCTTCAGACCTTTCCCAAATGGTAAGAACTCAAAGCAAAAATTAGACAACAGGTGCTTTAGGAGGCCACCTTTCAGGCCAGGCCAGGCCAGAAAAGCAAAAGTCCTCCTCAATAGCTCAAGTTGGAAGTCCACAGTGAACCCTCTACAATAACCCAGGCCAGTTTGGTCCTTCCTTTCTAACATCAGGTTTTTAGAAGCACATGTAAGCATCATATAACACTGCAACTCAGAAAAAGGAGCATGCAGACAGGAGAGCAATCCTACAAGAATAAACATCCAGCCAGGTAAAAATAACAGTAAACAAAAACAAGGGCCCTGCTTGTTTACGACTATCAAAGTAAAATGGGAAAAACCACAGAGTAGGAAGGAGCAAAACAGAGAACTATGACTTCAGCAAGGGAAGCCACATCTGAACAGCCAAAGTTGACAACGACTCTGGGCAGGGGCTGTATCCAGCAATATGAAGCCTTTTAACCCTTGGTCTGATCTGGTTTAGGTACTTGGGTGGTAGTGGTTTTACTGGTTGGCTGGTCTTTATCCTAAGAGCAAAGAGCAACTGTAAAAGACTTGAGCAGGGGAATGATGTGATCAACTGAACTGCCAAAGATCACTCAGGCTGGCAAAGGGGTCAACACAGCCTGGAGGAGGCAAACACGGGATTTAGGTGCATGTTCTGCTAGCCAGAGAGCTTCATGTCTCCACTGGCCGGTGGAAGTAAGGCTGCCTCTCTGAAGCAAAATGTACAGGACTCACTGGTACACTGGGAAACAGCTGAGGAGGACAGACAGGTAGCCACAAAGTCTCCAGTGTGTGGGGGTTGGCGGGGTTACTCTGAGATTGAGGCTGGCCAGTATGAGATGGGGACAGAGAAATAGTTATCATGAGTCAGATGTGAGAAAGTAAAAATTAGTTTGCTGAAAAAATGAAAACCCATCCTGCAATTTGTCAGGCTAGAAGAGCAGACACGGAAAAAGCCAAGGAATAATATATCTCCTAAGGACCCTGCAACCGAGAAGGGTCACAATGAACCTTTGAGGGACTACGGACTTGTTCACTTAGAAGTCTCACTCTGAAAAATCCAACTCTTAGAAACTGCTGTTTTGAGATTTTACAGAAAAAAAAAGAACACCACATCCTGGCCTAAAGAGCCTCTGTAACAGAGGCAGCCTGCATGTTCTGCTAGCCAGAGAGCTTCATGTAAGGGATTTCTAGACAGTGTTACACAGTCTATCTGAACTTTGCACTTTTTAAGTGAATGGAACCAGGAACTTCTTCAGTAAGACCTACGTTGCCTCTTTACACAAAGCTCTACATTGCTTTGAGCCATCAAAACACTCACTGCTTCAGGGCTAGGGATATAGTTCGCTGGTAGAAGGCTTGCCTCACATGCACAAGGTCCCTGGGTTCAATTCCCAGCACCACAAAAAAGAGAAAATAAAACTACACACCAAGGGCTGGGGTTGTAGCTCAGTGTAGAGTGCTTACCTTGCATGTGTGAGGCCCTGGGTTTGGTCCCCAGGACCATATAAAAATAAACATATTACAGTTACACACACACACCAAAAACTTTATTAAAAAAAAAAAAACACCACTGCTTCATTTCCACACCACCCTAATCCTACCCTGCCCTTCAAGTCCTGTAACAATACGAAACTCCTCTTTGGTAAGATGCCTCCCAGTTCCTCTGGAATGTGGTCTCCCATATTGCAATGAACCATAAACCTGACCTAGTCAAACTACAGGCCTATTCCTAGTGACCTCAGTCTCATTAAGCTAGGACAAACATTTAAGAATCTGAAATGATCATGGGGAATTAGCCTTAACCCTTAAAGGCTGACTTGATGGTGATGCAGCCTCAACCAGACATGTACTGATCAATCTCGAACTATCTTCAAGAACTTTAAAAGGGTCCTACACTGGTACTTGACGTGACAGCTCAGTTTGAAGCTCAAAAGTGTGAATGGACAAGTCCTCAAAATCCTGGCCTTAACTCAGTGCTAGAAGTTGACCTTCCCATCCACCCAGGGACAAGCGCACACACATTCAGTTATCTCTACGGCTCCATTAATCCCACCTGAGGCTACAACATGGCAGGATCTTTAATTTGCAAAAGGCCTTAACTTTCAGAGTGGAGTTTTTCAGAATGAAAACCATTAAATTCTTCTTCCAAGGAAGAGAACAGAACAGAAAGAGAAGCTAGTAATAAACACTACAAAAAACTGGCAGCCTTTCCTCCAACACCAACACACTTTTCTCAAGTTACTCTTTAAGGAGATCTCCACATTTTATCTGACTCTCCCTAATGTAATTACAAGGACCATAGCCAACACGTTAAAATTTATATACAATTGCAGTTATGTACCTAAGATAAATCTGCTCTATTAGATTACATTACCAATAACCAATCAGACTGCTAAAAATGAAGGTGGGACTCACTTTTTTCTACAATCTTTAATTTCTGGAAGCTTTCCAGTACCTCCCCACTTAGTATTCTGGGTAAGAAGTCCCGTATTTGCATCACTTCAGTTGTCAGCCGTTCCAGGTCCTTCTTTCTGACTTTAACGAACTCTTCTTTGGTTCCCATGTGCTAAAAAATGAAGACCTTTAAGATTATTATATTTCTCTTCAGATGACTAAAACCAGCAGCCCAAGCCGACCTGCTTCTTTTTAGTGCCCCTCTGTTCCTACGGTTTCTACAGCGCCTTTAGGTGTCTTCTCCTAGGGGACACGGGTCTGGGTCACACGTGTGTAAAGCAGGTGAAAACGCGAGGGTGTCGGGCCGTGCCACGCACCTCTTCCCCTGCTCTGGGGGCCCAGCCGCGTTCGAGGCCTGGAAACTGGGAGACCCAGTCGCTAAGTGCAAGGTCAAAGGGCAGGGGCATGGCTCCAGCGGAGCGCCGGGGTCAAGTGCAAGGTCAAGGGGCAGGGGCGTAGCTCCTGCAGAGCGCAGGGTCAGCCCAGGCGGGCGGTGCAGCCGCACGAAGGCGAAGAGGCCGCCGCAAAGGACCCACTGAACGCCGCGCTGCAACTTAACCTGGCGGCCTCGGCTGCCCGCACGCCGCGGGCGGCAGCACGCGACCCGGACACGGTCAGGACCAGCTCTGGGTCCGAGAACCCGATGGCCCTCAGGCCGCGTGGGTCACATCCGCAGCCATGAAGCCGCCTTCGCAACGCGCCGGCCGCGTCCTGAGCCAGGCCTTCGAGGGCGGCGAGAAGCCGCGTCCCAGCCCCCTCCTGCCCTGCCCAGTGCACCGGGCCTGCGAACAGCGCTTCGCGTTTGGGCGATGCCCGCCGCGGGCCGACCGCCGGAAGCGGGCCCTCCCCACTGACCCGGCAGGCCTCCTCAGCGCCTCCTGCCTCGCCCATGGCCACCGCCTCGGCTCAGTGCGCCTGCGCGGCGCTCTTTGACCCCTGCACGCTAGAAAGCGCGGGAACGAGGCCACGCCGGTCCGAATAGTCCGCAGTACGGAGAGCTGCGAGGTTCAAAGCTCCCGGAGTTTGCACAGCATCCTCTGCCTCGGGATCGATGGGTGGACTCCGGGAGGTCCCACTTCTGATCTTCTGGTTTAGCCCGGGTTAACTGCAGAGTAGACGAAACGTGAAACCCAGAAATAAATATCAAATAAAATAAATCCGAATAGTCCCTTCTCTTTTGGTGATAGATACTGCTCTGGCCCTGACCCAGCGACCCGCTCCAGGAGCTTTCACTTCAAGAGGTGAACGTTTGTGATCACAAGAGAGTTATTTCTTCCAGGTGACAGTAAGATAACCACCCTAAATTCAGGGGAGTCACCCTACACCGGTAAATTCCCTATAGTCTTGCATGATCCCAAAGTTAGCACAACTTTAAGGACTTCCCCTCTGGGATTAGCAAGGTCTGCACTATTCCCGTTCCCGTAAAGTGCATGTAGAAAGGCCAGACAACCTGTTGGCCTGATGGCTCCCAGAACCTGCCCCGGATGCCGGGGGAGAGGTCAGAAGGGGACGTTCTGGCCGCACCACAACCGGCATTGGGCCCAGGATGCCCAATGGGAGACCAGGTGGTTCACTTGCACCCCACACCCCTCCCACCAGATGCGGGGGGGGGGGGGGGAAGGTGAGACGGAGCACTGTGCCCTGGACACCTCTGCACCCGCCCCATGATGCTAGGGAGGATGGGTTGGTTCCCTTCGCAGTGCACACACCTGCACCTGCCCCAGGTGCTGGGGGCGAGGGTCCCGCCGTACTCCACATCCCAACCCTGCACCAGCGCATTGGGCACTGGGCACTAGGAGTGCTCTGGCCCTGCCAGAACGACGCGGTAGCCGGCCGGAGGGGCTGCCCGTCAGCTGGCTAAGCAGGGCCCCAGGAGAACCTGCCTTCCCGGGCTCCGCGCCACGGAAACGCGGTGCGTACGCATCGCAGGAGAGCTGCTGGCCTGACGGGGCTTTGCTAAGTGTGCTTCGAGATTCTAGGCCACTTAAGCCAGCCGTCTGTGTCTTTCCGGACAAGACCCGACCCTGGCTAACCTCGCCGCCGACTGCCCTGACCTGCGGCGACCGAAATACAGCGCCGACACGACGTCGTGGGGCCGGGCGGCTCCTCCAGCGGCCAGAGCCGCTCCCAGAACGCGCGGGCCGGGAACGCGCGGCGCGCGGCGCCTCTATGACGCCATCGGCGCGCGCCGCTCTCTGCGCAAGCGCGGTCGGGCGGCGGCGCTCGGCGGGGTGGCTCAGGCGGCCGCGATGGCCCCCGCCGTGCAGCCCGCCGAGGTCCAGTTCGCTCAGCGGCTGGCGTCCAGCGAGAAGGGCGTCCGCGACCGCGCGGTGAGGAAGCTGCGCCAGTACCTCAGCGTGAAGACGCAGAGCGAGACAGGTGGGCGTCCACGGGGTCCGCCGCGCCACATGGCCGGCGTCGCGGTCGCCAGGGCAAGCGGCGAGCCATCCGCGTGCTGTGCCTGGGCCGTGCTGGGCGGGAACGGCCAAGTCCAGTGGTGTGCCGAAGGTCAGCGGCGGAGCCGAGAACTGGCCCGGGGCTGGTGGCTGGACATCGCCGTTGGTTGCCGGGAGAAGCCGGGCCCGGCCTGGAGGCGCGCGGGCGGGAAGTGGCCAGGTGGAGTGCGCGAGCGAGCGCGGGCCGCGGGCGGTGCGCCCAGCACGGCGCCTGCAGGGCAGGAGCTGCGCGGCCCGAGACGGGCGCGGAGACCGTAAGCGCGGCTGGAGGGCTCCCGAGGTGCAGCTGGAAAGCAGGCGGTGGAATGCGGGGAAGTGTTATTTACCCGACTAAAAGGTTCTGGGGACCCTTGAATGAGCACTTAAGGTATGGACTGCAATGGACGATGGAGGCCTGCTTATGTTGCATCGAGGTGGCTAAAGTTGGGCTTAGTTACTGCTGATAATAGCACAGTTGAAATTGCTTAAAAGAGCATTACTCCCCACACCCGTTACTCACACAAAACACACACACATATCCCAAATAAGAAAGAAAAGAAAAATTAAGCTTTGGTGGGAAGTCTAAGGAGTGGATCGGAATTCCTGACATCTGTTTGGAATCTCCATTAGTTTACTCTCCTGGTTTCACATATCTGTAATCCAATGCCTCTTAAACCTAAACTGCTAGCCCAGCACTCTGCATGGTTGTCCCACTAGCACCTCATACTCAGTGCCCAAAGTCCCCCAAAACTTAGTGCTGCTTGTCTGCCTCCTGCTCACTCTGCAGAGAAGCCTACCTCTTCTCCGTTCCCATTCAGTTCAATATCACTTCCTCCCTCTTGCCCCCACTCTTGTAGGGTTCTAAGCACCACTAAACACTGCTGTCTATTGTAGCATTTAGATATATTGCTTCTTAATTATCTGTTGATGTGCCATTCTTCCCCCAAATACAGTAAGCTTCCATCTGTTTTCATAGCTTGAAGTGGGGGCATATCCAACTTATGAGGTCCTGGCTGTGGACAAGAACAAAGACAGGTGTGGTACATATGGACCTGAGACATCCAGACAGCCTCTTGCTCACACCACTTTGTGAACAGGCCTAGAACTTCAAATTTGGCATCAGGCTAAGGTAGCCTGACACCAATGTCCTGGGTTCCTGCCTCCTTAGCACCCATCACACCCAGTTACTTGTGTTCATCACTATATGCACATTGCATTTAGTATAATCGGCCTTCAAAAATAACTACAGTAGATGTCTTAGCAGAATAGAGGAGAAAAACCAAGGTCTCTTCCACAGCTAAGCTCCATCAAAATAGAAACACAAGTTTGGAAATAGCTTAGCCCAACATTTGACTCTCATTGACAGGCTCAGGATCTTTTTGCATCTTGTTAGGAAGTATTTTAACTTTCACCAACATAAATAAATAGCTCTATAATCTTTAAAACAAGTTGGAAATCTTTGTACCACTTAAAACAATATTGCTCTTGTGCTTTAACTGTGAGTCCTCACTCACATGAAGTGATCATGGTTTTGGTTCATAACAACTCATTTGTTGTGATTTAGTCATTAATTCCTATATTCAGCAAACATTTGAGAAGCACCAGGTGTGTGCTATTATTATGTACCCTATTCTTGGCACTGAACTAAACAGTCAATCCCTGCCTGTCTTTTTTGTCTTGACCTCCTGAATCACTGAGATTACAGGCATGCAACACTACGCCCAGCAATCCCTATCTGTCTTATCAATTCTGCAACTTCAAAATGTTAACATCTGCCAGACAGGATTGTGTGTGCCTGTCATCCCAGCTACTCAGGAGTCTGAGTCAGGAGGATCAAAAGTTCAAGACCAGCCTCAGCAACTTGGTGAGATCCCCATCTCAAAAGATTAAAAAAAAAAAAAAAAAGTAGCTGAGGAAGTAGCTCAGTCATAGAGCATGGGTTCAGTTCCTAGTACTGCACCCACATAAAATTTTCTGCCCCAAAATTGAGGTACATCTTAGCATTTGAATCAACCTGTGATGGTTTCATTCACATCATTGCTTTCTTTGGAGACATAGAAAACAACAGTGTGTCTGGGGTAAGTGGTCTTAGATTTATTAATGGTGATGAGGCAACTCTCTACCTGAAGTCTTGATGAGTAGGAGTTGTTTTGACCCTGGGCTAAGTTAGTGTGACACTGCTCCTATCATAAATGGCTTCTGTGCTTGTGTCCTGGGGAAAATAGTGTTACCATTCATTATATCCTGTGTCTGCATGTCTCACTTTCATGTTCACCTGATTTGTTTTAAAATAACTACCTAGCCAGGCACAATGGCACACACAAATAATCCCAGCAGCTTGGGAGGCTGAGGCAAGAGGATCACAAGTTTGAAGCCAGGCTAAGCAACTAAGCGGGCCCAAGCAGCTTGGCAAAACCCTGTTTCAAAATAAAAAGGGTTGGGCTGGGGATGTGGCTCAGGTGGTGGTGCACTCGCCTGGCATGCATGCGGCCTGGGTTCGATCCTCAGCACCACATACAAACAAAGATGTTGTGTCCGCCAAATACTAAAAAATAAATATTAAAAAATTCTCCTTCTCTCTCCCTCTCTCTTAAAAAATAAAATAAAATAAAAAGGGTTGGGAATGTCAGTGGTAAAGCACCTCTGGGTTCAATCCCTAGTACCAAAAAAATAAAATAACTAAACCTAGATGGGCATGGTGGCACACTTGGATAACTATGGCTGAACAGTGAGTTGATCAGAACCACACCCCGCTGTTGAACACGCTTCACTCACAACATGCTTCTCTGATGTGCCTTTCATTTTGACCCTGACCATATGCCTGGTACAGTAAGGAGACTAAGTCCCAAAGGTCAGTGGACAGTTTTCTGTTACTATGCTCTTGTACACAGCAGTTGGGGCCTGCCCAACTGTTGGGTCTCTGCTGTACTTTGTGGCCTCCTTCAGGAGAGATGAGTCAGAATGTGCTTTCACATACCTGCCCACTGTCTGGGCTCTGCTGTTACTTTGGCTTTGTTAGAATCTTCTGTTTTTCCATATAGGTCTCTGTAGCACATCGTATTGTTCCTTTGCCTGTGATATTGAGTGTACCCCATTATTGCTTACCATTGGTTTGAGAACTATCTAGAGATAAACATACACCAAGCAGCTTTAAGTAAGAAAAGCCAGAATACAGAAGAATGTCATACTTACGTTCTAACACGTAGCCATGCTTTTCCACAATACAAGTAACTGTTCTGCACATGCATCGGAAAGATCTAGAAACAGAAGGCAGATAGCAGTGGCCTCTATGGAGAGGAAACGGGATTTGGGACGCCGTGAACAAGGCACTCTTGACTATGTAACTTTGGTAGTGTGTGAATGTTTTGTGATAAAAGTGTGTTTTTACTAGGACTCTTCAGTTGCCAATCACCAGAACCTCCAGGCCACACTAGCTTTAAGTGGAAATTGAAGAGCAGCTTCTTGCAGCCAGCCAGTGGCACCAGAGCCCCATGTTTCTCCACTGAGACTCTGCTCCCTGGGGAGACTCCACTCTCAGGCAGGCTGTCTTCTTTTGAGGGTGGCTGAGCACAGGAAACGCTTGTGTGCTCCAAGCCTAGTGGAAGAGAGACTTCCTGGAGCCTGAGCAGAGGGCCATTTGCTGTTGAGCAGTCCCCTGGCCCAGAGAATTCCTGCTAATCTGACTTAAGCCCCTACTGCTTCTTCCTCCCCTCTGTGTAGGGTGAACCCCACCAACCTCTGCCCCCTCCATATCTCTGCCCTGAAATTGGGCAGGAAATAACCGTGCATCTACTTCAGAACCAGCCACAAAAACCCAGAGTGCCGGGCCCTGGCCTCACAGTAACCCAGCTCCTTTAATCCTCTTTGCTTGTAAGTTCTTTAACATTTATGGCATCCTTTTTGTCTTTTTGTTAAGGAATATTTCAAACATAAAAAGTGTTCTCATTTTTTTTTTTTAAGTTGTAGTTGGACACAATACCTGTATTTTATTTATTTATATGTGGTGCTGAGAATCGAACCCAGTGCCTCACACATGCTAGGCAAGCGCTCTATACCACTGAGCTACAACCCTAGTCCAAATGTCCTCATTTCTCTGCTTTGGCATTTGCCAGTGCCCAGCCAGATTGTCTGCCCTTTCCTCCTTCCCTCTAGGTTCTTGTGAACCAAAGCCCAGGCATCTCACTCCATTTCCAGACACCTCAACATATATGTCTGAAAGATAAGGACTCACAGCCAGAGTACCCTCCTCATACCTTAAAAACATCCTTAATAGCATGTAATACCCAGTATGCTGATTTTTATGACAAATCAGAATCCAAATAAGACTCACCTGTTGCAATTGACTGATGTCTGCTAATTCCAACAGGTCTTACACATCTTTTTTTTCCATACAGTTTATTTGTTGGAGGACTGGTCATTTGTCCTGTAGACTCACACATTTGAGGTTTTGCCAACTACATCACAAGGTCATCTTTAACTTGTTCCTCTACCCCCTGGATTTTCTATAAGCTGGTGTTACTAGGTAGGTTTAACACAACTCAGGTTTTGTTTTAAGTTCCTCAGTGCATTTTGCCTAATGTTTTAGCAGTCATGATCCTTGCTCAGGTCCACTAGTTCACTAGGGACTTAAGCAGTCTTTGAATTTGATCAAAAATAAAAAATGTTGGGCTGGGGATGTGGCTCAAGTGGTAGCGCGCTCGCCTGGCATACGTGCGGCCTGGGTTCAATCCTCAGCACCACATACAAACAAAGATGTTGTGCCCGCCGAAAACTTAAATAAATAAATAAATGTTTTTAAAAAAGTTCTCTCTCTCTCACTCTTTAAAAAAAAAAGAAAAGAAAAAGAAACTGAGTGAAACCATGTCTCAAAAAAAATTTTTTTTTTTTTTAAATAAAAAATGTTACTGTTATCACTACAGTTGGCTGGGCTCTGGTGGATTTTATGTTGTTGATGTAAAGATCCCTACATGTGGGCTGAGGATGTGGCTGAAGTGGTAGTGCGCTCGCCTAGCATGCATGAGGCATTGGGTTCGATTCTCAGCACCACATAAAAATAAAATAAAGATCCCTACATGTGACTCATTTGTAACAGAAGGGAGGAAAACCAGCCCTTACCTCTTTTGTGTAGCTCTTGAAGGGCATGTACTTGAATTTCACTATAGTTTCTGATATTTTGATGTTAAGTGGGAAACTGTCACAAAAGAATCAAGACCAGGGCTGGGGCTAGAGCTCAGTGCCAGAGCACTTGCCTAGTACATGTGAGATACTGGGTTTGATTCTCAGCACTGCATATAAATAAGTGAGTAAAATAAAAGTCCATCAATATCTAAATTTTTATTTTTTTTTTTTTTTTTTTTTTTTAAAGAATCAAGGGGCTGGGGATGGCTCAAGCGGTAGCGCACTCTCCTGGCATGCGTGCGGCCCGGATTCGATCCTCAGCACCAAATACAAACAAAGATGTTGTGTCCGCCGAAAACTAAAAAATAAATATTAAAAAATTCTATCTCTCCTCAAAAAAAAAAAAAGAATCAAGATCATCTTAAAATTATTGATGTGAGGAAATTTTTATTTTTAATAAAATGTATAAAATGGAGTAAACTCATTTTGAATACACCAAATATCAGTCCATCATTATCTCTGAAGTGTTGCAATCACACCGATTCCAAATCCATGCTACTTTTTACATTCATCTATTATATCCCAGTCTGCTACTCCCAAAGATTGTCCCCATTATTCCTAGTAAGATATCAGTGAAGACCATTTGTAGCACATGGAAACTTAAGGATATTGGTTCTCTGGCCCATGGTCTTGAGATCCAGGAGTGGGCACCTGCCTCTCATTTCTGATTCCTTGTGTGGCTCAGAATGTTTCATGGCTCCTGGGTTGGTTACAGGCTGAAGGAGCCTGGTGGTTCATTCCTACGTAGCAAAGCAGAGGTGGGGCCTCTGAGGAGCTAGAGGGAGAATAAGGCCAACCCAGGGCTACACTCAATATCAGCTAAAATTGCCCAGCAAGCAACAGCTGTCCCGGGAAAGGAGACTAGGGACAGCTGCATTTAACCTCACGGTAGGATCCTTAAAATTAAGGGGTACTGGGCTGGGGTTGTGGCTGAGAGGCATAGTGCTTGCCTAGCATGCATGAGGTACTGGGTTCGATCCTCAGCACCATATTTTAAAAAATAAATAAAGGCATTGTGTAAACCTACAACTAAAAAATAATGTTTTAAAAAAAAAAATTAAGGGGTACTTTTGCAAAAATACCTCAAAGCCGTATCAGTTTCCATAGGATCTTTCCTAGTCCTTTGACTTTCTGGTCTGTTATTGAGAGCCCCTGCATCCTCAGCCTGTCTGGCTTTCTGTTCTTCAGTGGGTCTGCCAATTGCTAGACTTCGTGTGACTGGTAATCCTGCATCATTTGTCAGATTTGCAGTACTAAGCAGGCAGTGCTTGAGGCAGGTGCTGATTCTGTAAATGGCCACCTCATGGGCTCTGTCTGGTTTTGGTTTGGACGGAGTTGGTTGTGCTGGAGATCAAACCCAGGACCTCAGAATCAAACCCGGCAGGCACTGTACCCCTGAGCCCGGGGGGTTGATTTTGTTGTGATCACAAGTGCTTCCTTGTGTTTCTTGACTGTTGAGGACTTGTCATCATAGCTCCCTCTCCAAGGCTGAACTATCTGTGCCGTTCATGTGTTCATTGTAACATAGGAAACCTGTCGTTCAAATTTAAGAAACAAGGCTTAGGGTTGGAAGAGAATTAGAAGCATGTGGTAATGTTTTCACCACTACTGTGGCCCTTTTAGGCTTTAAGAAAGGAAATACATAGACTCTAAAATAAGATTTTTGTTGTTTTTTTTTTTTGTGTGTGTGTGTGTGTGTGTGTGTGTGTGCGCGCGCGCGTGCTCTTTTGCCCTGCAGGAGGTTTCAGCCAAGAAGAACTCCTAAAAATATGGAAAGGACTCTTCTACTGCATGTGGGTGCAGGACGAACCCCTTCTGCAGGTAACACAGCCCCTTTGTCGTGTTCCTGGACCTTTGGCACGCTGGCTAAGAGAGACTTGATCTTGACCCTCAGTCAGTGCCCTGGCATACCTAAGCAGATTGGGAATGAGTGCCTCCAGGAGCCGGTTTCTCAGCTCGTCTGAACAGAAAGGGATGCTGCACCAGCTTTTAGGTTAATCATCTTTCAAATACAATGGATATTCTAAGTCGTAAACTTCTGTCATCATTTCATAGATTCCATGGTAGGTTTTGCATTATGTGTTTTAAAGTTTCTGTTTCTTCTCTCTCGAGTTTACTCCTTGTAGACAAAAAAGTGTGATAGGAAGCACTAATCTTAAGAAACTGCGAGGTGTAGGCTCCACGCCTGCCTTTGCCACCGTGTGGCTGGTATTGGGGATAAGGTAGCTACCTGTTCGCCTTCCGTCCTTCACAGAGCATGTGACCAGGCCCTTGTGGCTAAAGCCTCTCTAACCACTAACCATGGAAACTGCGCCACTCACCAAGTGTGTTGTGTGAGCCTTGGTGCCCATCTGTGGAGTACACTCGGCCCCACCGCCAGTGCTACAGTTAGAGAATGCTCATAGAAAACTGCCTTCTGAAAGCAGATGCACCTCTGGTGGCGGAAATGTGCAAGCCTTTGTTGTCAGGTCCTCCTGCACAGTTTCCTGCTGGGCTCCTCCGTGCAGCCCTGCCACTGCACCCATGCCGGGTATCAGCTTGTCTGGATTCTCATATTCACTCTACTCAACATATTTTGAGTAGGTTAGCAGGACAAAACATTTTTAAATTCATTCAAAAGTAACAACCAGCAGCTTTAGTGAAGAAAGAACCAACAAACAACAACATTTTCAAGTCTGGAGTCCATTTTAAAAGGAAGGAAAATTAGGTGAAGTGTGAGCAGTATCACTGAGGACCACTCATGCCCAGGGACCTCGTGGACAGAAGGCTTGCTGCCAGGCAGTCTTCTCCACAGGTCACGCCCACTGCGCTCTCCCGAAACAGGCCCTGCTGTGCTTTGGCGAGCATGTCTTCAGAAGGCACTCCTGGCAGAGCGGAGCCTAGGAGGGTCCTATCTAACCTTTATTTTCCAACCCACTCTGGCCTCACCAGACTTTTTTGTCCCACAAATTAGGTCTCTGGAGTGAGAACCCCAGTGTTCAGCCCCCAGGGAGGGGACCCTGTGTTTTCTGTCTTTCACAGCATTTAAAGATTTTGATACAATCTCAGCTTGATTACAGTTTTAAAGCCAGGGATTGACAGCTAGCGTGGGCCTTTGGTGGGTCGTTGAACAGCTTACTACATGCTTTCAAACCCACAGCATAGCCTGTTCCCACACACACATGAAGTCAGCACAGTTGAGGTCTCACGCTTGGAGACACCAGGTGCTCACAGCCTCACCCCTTTGGTGGCAGCCACTAGAGCAGGAGGCACAGGCTTTCCCGCCAGCAGGGTGGGAGGAGGATGCAGGCCACAGTGCTGCCTTGGTGGTACAACACGTAATAACCCCAATGTTTCTCCCCAACCCCACCTTTGCAGGAGGAGCTAGCGAACTCTATTTCCCAACTCATCCATGTTGTTAACAGCTCAGAGGCTCGTAAGTCCTGATGTTTTCATGACTTTCAAAACTTCCTTGTTCATCACATTTGGTAATTTGCCTGGGAAACCTAGTCAGTGTTGTTTCTTTTCCTTCCTTCAGAGTCCCCATTTCCCAGGGCATTGGTTTAACATGAGCCTGGTGCTATGTTATATGGGCATCAGGCAACAAGCCTTTCTTTTTAAAAGCTTGCAGACGGAGGTAGCAACTTCTAAGACAGTATGGGGGCACCTTGTGTACAGTCAATGGACACGCAAAGACTAGCGCCTCAGCCAGGTTCTGAGTCACTTGGGCACTCTCACAGCTGTCCATTCACACGCCAGCTTGTTTGGTCACCTCTGGCAGGTGCATGCTCCCCAAGGTTAGATAGAGGACAACACTGGTAGCAAACTACAAGGAAACTTCTCTACCAAAAAGAAGACAGAGGGAAAATTAAGATTGCTGAGACAGACTTGAATTATTTATAAAGGAAGAAAGGATGACAGTGTGTTCTGCTTAGCACGCCCCAGAGCAAAACCATCACAGTGGCTTGAGAAACCGCAGTGGTTCTGGGTTCAGCTCACAGTGAAGGAAATTGAATCATGCATAGTATAGGCTTGATGTATTAAGAAAGAATTTTACTCTGAAAAGTAGTAAATCCAAGAAAGAAACCAGCAAGAGTTTCCAGTGGGAACGTGCTAGCATCAAGGCTCAGAAGAGAGGACTAGAGTGCCCTGTGCTAAAGCTTTCCCAAATGATACCTAGCACAGACGGAAAGTGGAGCCTGCGAGGATCGTGTGAGTGCTCATCAGGATGAGTGTGTGTTTTAAAGGGTGCCATAGAAAGGGCCTGCAGTGTGGATCAGGGAATTTGGATTTTATGTAAACGTGGCTTTTCAGTAGGTAAGGTGCTCCAGAGAATGCTCTGGTAGGGAGGTATCACTAGCCTCCTGGTATTTTAATCTATTTATCTTAATGTAAAGGAAATTATCAAGTGTATTCAGTTATTGACCAGATTGTTTAACTTCACAAGAATTTTTGAGACAAGTAAATAACCTAGTTTCTCCTCACTCTTTTCTTACTATGTGGTCTACCCTAACATGGGAACCGAGCTCTCAGAGCCTCTTGTTTCCCTGCAGAGCACCTGTTCATTCAGACCTTCTGGCAAACCATGAATCGAGAATGGAAGGGAATAGACAAGCTGCGCCTGGACAAATACTACATGGTAAGGTCAGCATGCCTTTGTCCACGTTAACTTTAAGACTTCATGTGCAGCCAGGTGCAGTGGCACAAGCCTGTGATCCCAGCTGCCTAGGAGGCTGAGCCAGGATGATCAGACATTCAAGGCCCTCCTCAGCAACTTGGAGAGACAGTGTCTCAAAATAAAATAGTCTGGGCATGTAGCTCAGTGGTAGAGCACTTGCCTATCATGCACAAGGCCCTGGGTTCATTCCCCAGTACTGAGAAGAAAAGGCTCCTGTGCAAAAAGAATGTTCTGCATCATAAAACCAATAGAGGGGAGTTAGGGTTTAGCTCAGTGGCCAGGCACTTGCCCACTGTGCACAAGGACCTGGGTTTGATCACTAGTGCTGTGGGGGGGAAAAAATTATTAATAAACAGTGGAGCGCTTGTCTGAAGTAGAGCAGCATCAGGTATTTATAGAAGGTTCTCTGCAGCTCTTCTAGCTGTCAAGGAAGCACTTGGGGATCATAACAAAATATATCATTATATTTATTATGGATATTGTTTTGTTTTTCGGATCCAGACAATGCACCAATTTCATTTGATCTCCTTATTCTGCCAAGCTGATTAACATTTCTTTGCCTTTTGTAACAAAAATTGTCTCTTTAGCTGATTCGCCTGGTCCTGAGGCAGTCTTTTGAAGTTCTGAAACGGAATGGCTGGGAGGAAAGGTTGGTGAACATTTTGAGTTAGCATTTGGTGACCCTCGAGACCAGTGAAGAAAGCCCCGGGGTTACCTCAGCAGTAGCACACTTGGTACACACAAGGCCTGGCTGATCTTCAGTGACACCAGAAAACACTTGTAAGATAATAGGGTGCTTTCTAAAGCTTTTCAGTTGATCAGAACTCCTGAATTGTCTGGTGTACAGTCATGCCCTAGAGTGATGTGAGGAGCAAGGCGTCCTTCCAGGGAGGGGTCCAAGCCCTGTGAAGGCACAAAGCACCTGGCAGGTGTGGCGGGCAATACTTCATGCTGGTTTAGTGGTTGCCTTCCCTGGACATCTTCCTTGGCCTTGTCTTTATTGTTATGCAGTGTGAGTTCTCACCTAAGTAATTTTGTTTTCTCTTGGGGATGAGAGTGTTGGCATGCTGTCGTTAAAAGAATTATATGGTTTGGTTTTTTTTTTTTTTTCTTTAGCCGAATCAAGCTTTTTTTGGATGTTCTGATGAAGGAGATCCTGTGTCCTGAGAGCCAGTCTCCTGATGGAGTGAGGTTCCATTTCATCGATATTTATTTGGACGAACTATCCAAAGTGGGAGGAAAAGAGGTAAGAAACAGTTGGGCATGCTGGCAGCAGTGTGACAAGACCACAGGTGCTCGGAAGAGTTGTCTGCAAAGTGCCGCCCCTTGGCACTTGATACCAGTGACATTAGTAGCAGAGTGGGTCCAGCCTCTCCAAGTCATTCCCCACAGGGAATGTGCACCAGGATGCGTGTGGCAGTCCTGTTCGGATAACAGAAGTGAGCCAGGCACAGTGTTACGTGCCTGTGATCCCAGTGACTCTGGAGCCTGAGGCAGGAGGGTCATTTGAGCCCTGGATTTCAGGACCAATATAGCAAGACTCTTGAGAGCTGCGCATGGTGGCACACGCCTGTAATCCAGCAGCTTAGGAGGCTAAGACAGGAGGATCACAAGTTCAGGGCCAGCCTCAGCAACTTAGTGAGAGGCCCTAAGCAACTTAACAAGACCCTGTCTCAATTTTTAAGAAATAAAGTAAAAAGGACTGGGGATATGGTTCAGTGGTTCAGCACCCCTTGGTTCAATTCCTGATGGCAAAAAAAGAGAGAGACAGAAAGGAAAAGAAACAGTTAAAAATACCCTTCAGAGAATTCAGGAATGAGGAGAAATCCTCAGGATATAGTGAGGATTTTCAAAGCACCAGGGGGAAAAGGCAACAGACAAAGCATGTTTTAGTCAGCTCTTTCACCACTGTGACTAAAGGATCTGACCAGAACAATTCTAGGGGGAGAAAAGTTTATTTAGGGTTCGCAGTTTCAGAGGTCTTAGTCCAAAGAAGGCTGACTCCATTCTTCAGGCCTCGAGGTGAGGCTGAACATCATGGCAGGAGAGAGTGGCAGAGGGAAGCAGCTCACATGATGATCAGAAAGCAGAGAAAAAGACTACTCTCCAAAAACAAAATATATCCTACAAAGCCAGGCCCCCAGTGTCCCATCCCCTCTAGCCATACCCCACCTTCCCTCAGTTACCATTTAATTAATCTCATCAGGTAATGAATTCATCGATTGGGTTAAGGCTCTTGTAATCCAACTAATTCTTCTCAGCATCTTCTTGCATTTTCTCACATTAGCTCTGGGGGACACTTCACACCCAAACCATAACATATACAAATGGTATGAAGTGTATTTTTAGTATATAGATAATTATCTAACATTGAGAAGATGAACAATTTTGATTTTTTTCTTTTACAAATGTTCTGTAGAGATTTTGTTGTTGTTGATGTTGTTGTTGTTGTTGTTGTTGTTGTTGTCGTCGTCGTCATTGTTAAAAGAAACCGTAGCCGGACACAGTGGCGCACACCTGTAATCCCAGCAGCTTGGGAGGCTGAGGCAGGAGGACCAAAAGTTCAAAGCCAGCCTCAGTAACTTACAAGGCCCTAAGCAATTCAGCAAGACCCTGTCTCTAAATAAAATACAAAAAGGACTGGGGATGTGGCTTGGTAGTTAAGCGCCCCTGGGTTCACTCTCTGATACCAAAAAAAAGAATAAGAAAGCCTTCATCTCACACTTTGGGGTAGTACCCACATAGAACTTCTTGTAGGGAGAAAGCCTGTGTATTGCAGGATAGTGCTGGCTGGGCTAGTGGTGCTTGGTGTTACTGTACTAAGGTACCCAGAAGGCTGGAGGATGGCTGTGACTTTGAGCCTACCAGGCCTCTGTGGCATAGCACATCTGGGGCTGGAAGACAGGAATCACTGCATCTCTCACTGCAGATGCACAGAACGGTTCCCTTTCCAGTGTGTCAGGAAGGAAAGGGGGCTGGAGTTTTGTTTTGTTTTATTTCAATCTTTTTTTCTTATTTAATGTCTAAATTACAGCTTTTGGCAGATCAGAACCTCAAGTTTATTGACCCATTCTGCAAAATTGCTGCCAAGACCAAGGAGTAAGTGGCTCATCACGTGTTTGTACTGCTTCGGTGGATACTCAGAGGTGGGTGGGATCCTGTTCTGAGGCAGGGTGCAGGACAGCTAGGATGAATGTCCAGAGCAAAGAATGCGCAGTGTCGATTCGCATTAATGAGGCCTTTGAAGCCCTGGGTAGTGATTTGGATTCCTGCTTCAGGGTTTGACCCGCTTGTTCCTGGAATGTCCTCCCACACCCAGAGTTCTGCCCACTGTGCATTCATGGCCTACCATCCCATGGCATGTAGGTGGCTCCTCACAGGTGCCTGCTGACTGCTGGTAGTGGCCCCACAGGTGCCGCACAGTGCTGCTCTGCTGTTCATCTGCTGCACTCCTCTTGTGCAAGGTCCAGATGGTGTGTTTTAATTGCATTCTCTCCGCTGTGCTTCTACCCTCAGCCACACACTGGTACAGACTATAGCTAGGGGTGTTTTTGAAGTCATTGTAGATCAGTCTCCTCTTGTACCTGAAGACACAGTGGAGGAACAGAAAACCAAAGTGGGTGATGGTGACCTCTCTGAAGAGGAGACTTTTGAAAACGAGGCAACTTGGAAAAAAGTAGTTAGCAGAAAGAAGACAGGTGAGACTTCCTATAGTGGTCTTTCTTCTGTCTTTGGGGGTTCTGTTGTTGTTTTTAATTCTCATCAAGCAAACATTTCTTAAATACTTGCTAACCAGGCTCAGTGGTGCACACCTGTAATCCCAACAGCTCTGGAGGCTGAGGCAGGAGGATTACAAGTTCAAAGCCAGCCTCAGCAATTTAGCAAGGCCCTAAGCAACTTAGTGAGACCCTGTCTCTAAATAAAATATAAAAAGGGCTTGGGGATGTGGCTCCGTGGTTAAGTGCCCCTGGGTTCAATTCCCAGTACAAAAAAAATAAATAATAAAACACTTGGTGGCTTCTTATTGAAGATAATACAGAGTTGGCTCGTGGAATATGGCTCTGCCCAGACCCCTCCCTAGAAAGAGAGTCAGAGAGTTGGGTGCGTGAAGACACTTGCTCCCATTGGGGACCTGGGGAGCCCCAAGCCCACACCTTTTGTATCTTCTGGGAGCTGAGTTCTGTGAGGGCTCCATCATTGTCCTTGCTCATATGTTGGGGTCTTCTCATTGGTTCTGTTTCATTTGATGTGTCTGAACACCCTGGTGTGGACACTTGTCTGCTATAGCCTCCTCCGCAGAGCTCTGCAGGTGGTCAGAAATGTGCTCCCCTTCTAGCAGCTCTTATTTCCTGTCTTTAGATGTTTAGATGCTCACTGTGGACTGACACTGCTCTTATACTGTTTTGTGTCCTGAGGTTCTGAGGTTGTGGGCCATCAAAACCCCCACAGTGGTGTGAAGTAAATGGTTAGGTCAGAGTTCACCACCTTTTTTTTTCCCCATTTATTTTTTAGTTGTAGGTGAACACAATGTCTTTATTTTATTTTTATGTGGTGCTGAGGATTAAACCCAATGCCTCACACATGCTAGGCAAGTGCTTGGCCACTAAGCTACAGCCCCAACCCTAGAGTTTGCCACCTTTTGAAATGCATGTTGCCATTGAGAAGCAGAAGTTCAGGGATGAGAGGCAGGGAAGGAAGTGGAAATGTTGGGGAATGATATTGGCCAAATTATATTGTTAGATTGTGTGCATGTACAAACATGTAACAGTCGATCTCACTATTATGTATAGCTATAATGCACCAATAAAAGAAGGAAATTTGGGGGCTAAAGGTACAGCCTAGTGGTAGAACACTTCTAGCATGCTCAAGGTCCTGTGTTCCGTCCCCTAGCAAAGGAGGCTCAATATTATTTTTTTTTAAAGACCAATATTTGTTGTGGAAAATCAATATTATATTTGCCTTAAAAAAATCTGGAAGGGGAGCTGGGGTTGTGACTCAGTGGCAGAGTAGTTGCCTAGCATATGTGAGGTTTGATTCTCAGCACTGTGTATAAATAAATGGACAAAATAAAGGCCCATTTTAAAAAAAAAGGAATCTCTTTTAAAAAAAAAAAAAAAAGATCTGGAAGGTGCACATCTATAACCCCAGCAACTCAAGAGACTTAGGCCGGAGGATCGTGAGTTCAAAGCCAGCCTCAAAAATGGTGAGGTTTTGAGCAACTCAGTGAGATCCTGTCTCTAAATAAAATGCAAAATGGGGCTGGGGATGTAACTCAGTGGTTGAGTGCCCCTGAGTTCAATCCCTGGTATCAAAAAAAATTTTTTAAGGCTGGGGATGTGGGGGCTGGGGATATAGCTCAGTTGGTGGAGTGCTTGTCTCACATGCAAAAGGCCCTGGGTTCAATCTCCACCACCACCAAAAAGGGGGGTGGGGTGGCTGAGATGTGTCTCGGTGTTTAAGTGCCCCAATATCAAAAAACAAGGATAGACTGGAGTGTTAGTAGCCCAGGTGGCAGGATTGAGCAAGTCCTAGTGTGGCCTCAGGAAAAATTGCCAATCTAGTACAGATTGAGCATCCCTCATCCAATATGTTCTCAAATCTGAAACTTTTGAAGCATCCATGTGACACTCAAAAAGTTTCAGATTCTGGAGCATCTCAGACTTTTGGATTAGGAATATTCAGCAGTTCCGTCTGTGCAAATGTTTCAAAATCCAGAAAGCTCCTAAATCTGAAATGCGTCTGATCCGCATGTAAGGTAAAAGCTTCTGAAGCTGTAGAACAGATTTCCACCTAGAACTGACCACAGACTCTCAAGTCCATTCACCTCCTCACAGTCAAGAGCAGCACAGAGCTGTGGTCCATCTGCCTGAGTGCCCCAAGAGCTTCCCTTCCCCTCAGCCACAGGCAGTAGCCAGGACAGCCTATGGCAGGGAAGTGGAGGTAGCAGCAACTTATGTGGGTTTGTCTGTGGTGTCACCTCAAGGAGGAGGGCCAGGAGCAGTGTGCTTCCTCCAGGGTTCGTGCTCTTCCCAGGACCAAATGACCCAAACCCCTCTGGGAGATTATCAAGTGCAGGTGCAGGGTTGTCTCTGAGAAGAAACATTTGTTTTCATCTGGGTAAACACTGCTCCTGGGGAAGCATCATACTGCATATCTGACATATCAAGAATCTTGACCTTGGGTGTATTTTGACAGCACTGAGCAAATGCCCCTCCAGGAGAGATGGAATCAGTGATAAAAGAGGAAGAAAGGACTGTGGTACCTTGGAGGACATGGGGCTACTTCTCCAGGTGGGTGTTTGCTTTTTATAGAACATAGACTTACTGCGTGGCCTGGCAAGAGAATTAGGGTCAAAGCTAATCATGCTGTAGAGCCTGGCGTGTGAAGCTCTTAATCACGTCTGTCACTGAAGTTCCCTTCCTTAGAATGAGCTTACTGAAGACTAGTTTAAGTAGTGTGGAATTTTGAAAGCTCTCGGTCCCCATTTTAATTGCTAAGATCTACAGAGCCAGCTCCAGCAGTCCTTTTCGAATAAGATTTTATTGTTCTACCAAGTACAGATTAGAAATCTAGATTAAACTTAAAAAGAAGCACATCTAGGAGAATTTGGTGATGTGCCTTCTCTCACAGTTTAAAGGGGGTATGGAATGCTCACTGCCTGGCTTCTCCTAGATGAAAGATAGCTGGGAGGTGACTTTCAAAGATGGTTCCCACCCTGGTCCCTGCCTCAGCACGAGATTGCTGAGCCTTTCTCTGGTGCCTAGGGGTCTTATTGGAAGATGTGAACTTCCAAAGTCAAGCATGTGGCTTTGCTATAAGGCTGTTGTTTTGTGATGTAGTTTGACTATAAGGCTGTCGCGGACCGACTCTTGGAAATAACCCACAAGAAAAACATTCCTCCCTTCAACCGGAAACGTCTCTACAAACTCATCAAAAAGTAAGTGGTCGGGTGGGCTCCTTTGAGTCTTGTGACACAGGCAGCTGTCATCGTGATCACTTTGTGTCCTTTGGGGTTTGGGGGGTTTTTGTTGTTGTTGTTATCGTTGTTATAGTAGATGGCACAATATCTTTATTTTGTTACATTTGTTTACTTTTATGTGGTGCTGAGGATCAAACCCAGCACCTCGCACATGCTAGGCTAGCGCTCTGTCGCTGAGCCCCAGCCCCAGCAATGTAATAAACACATAAACTGAAGACCTAATGAAAACAGCTGGCTCTTGCCCCTCGAGTTCTATTCTTCAGATGCAGCCATGCTCATGTCTTTTTGCTGTTTTTGTTTTGTTTTGTTTTGTGGTATGAGCTACATGAGACAGGGCCTCACTAAGTTGCTGAGGTTGGCCTGGAACTTGTGATCCTCCTGCCTCAGCCTCCTAAGCAGTGGGATGTGCCACCACACCTGGCTTTTCACTGTTTTATAACAGCATCAATGTAAAAAGAAGACTGCTGGTGTCTGTAAGTCATGGGTGAAGAGACTGAAGTCAAATGCTGTCCAAGAGTCCTACGTTGCTGTGCTAAGATGGGTGGGGGTCGCCTCCCTTGCCTTCTCCTCCAGGGGTTAGGCCAACATGGTGCACTGATTTAGTGGTTGGTGTCAGTGCACAGAGGCATGTCAGTCATGCACCATGGAGCCTGTGGCACATTATGACCCAAGACAAGTAACAACTGTCTGATCACACTCTATAGTGTGGGCACTGATGTGAGCACTGTCGTTTCTTTTTCCATGTTAAAAAGACCCCCAGGGGCTGGTGATGTGGCTCAAGCGGTAGCGCGCTCGCCTGGCATGCGTGTGGCCCGGGTTCGATCCTCAGCACCACATACAAACAAAGATGTTGTGTCCGCCGAAAACTAAAAAATAAATATTAAAAAATTCTCTCTCTCTCTCGCTCTAAAAAAAAAGACCCCCAGAAGGTAGCTTCTATAACTTGCCCCGTTGTATAGCTGGGTGACTGAAGGCCACAGCATTAGCGCTCAGCCCTGGCTTTCTTGTTCTAATGCACCAAAATTGTATAAGAACACCACTTGGCATATCTCCATGGGACAGTTAAACATAATTAGAGATTTAAGTTCTTTTACCTTCAGAAACAAGTGAGGGAAAATTGGGTTTCAGTTGGGCACTGTGGTGTACATCTTTAATCCCAGCCACTTGAGAGGCTGAGGTGGGAAGATCTCATGTGTGGGTCAGACTGAGCAACCTTGCAAGACCCTGTCTCAAAATAAAATACAAAAAGGGCTGGAGATGTAGCTCAGGGGTAGAGCACTTGCAAGACAGACACTGTCCTTGATGTGCATGGTGATCAAGGGTGATTTCGTCCGGGTCTCTCCCTTGTCTGGACACATGTTCTGGGATTCCTCTTTGGCCCCCTGCTGGAGAAGGGAGTGGGCTAAGAGTAGCTGAAGCCTGCCTGTGTTATGAGTTCAATGCATGAGTCTGTGCAAGACAGAAGGAAGTGTTTCTCTATGAACTTTTGTGTTCTCTTTCAGGTTCCAAGGCCTTTCTGAAGGTGAGGAGAGTCCGCATAGTAATTCAGGATGTTCTTCCTGAACATCTCTGCCAGGCATTGGGATAGGGGTTGGACAGGGCACTTATTGAAAGCTCTTGGGAGCTGGTAGCCCTGACCTGTGTTCTTCCTGGAGCACTTGACACAGAGGCCAGGAATGCAAGTGTAGCACCCTTTATAACCTGCCCACCTTGCCCTGGGCACCCCATAAATAAATGCCAGGGAGCAGGCTGCCCCTTGTTTGGGTTTTTATTACGTTTTGACCAGGCAGATTTCTGTTGGGCTAGGGAGATTCCAGTTGGTCCTTCATGAAGAAGGAAGTCTGCCTCTGGATCCCTTTACTATGCTATTATGACCTTTTGTCCCCAAGGGAAAGCTGCTGTGCTGTGGGTTACCTCTGGATGAGTGATGAACCCAAGCCTCCCTCATCCACTGGACGCTTGGAATTGGGGAAAGCAAAGAGCAAGTGGAGTCAGGAGACTGCCTGGCCCAGTCCAGCCCCCAGGACTGAGCCACAGAGGGTTACCCACGGTTGATAAAAATCCACAAAGCTTTATTAAGTGTGTACTTACTGTGTCGGCGGCTTCCAGGTTTAGGGTGGTGGAGATGAGGCAGACATCAAGATTTAAAGTCTCATCTGGCTAGCGTGGGCAGGGGCCAGCTCCAAGACTCCAGGGCAGAAGACCTCAGGAAGCTGAGAGGTGGCTCTGGTGTCTCGCAGGTGGTATATCTCAACTCAGTTTTCCTGAGGACATTGCTGCTGATGAAGGTGATCAAGCTCTCAGTCAAAGAAGACATAAGAAAAAAAGACGTAAGCTCTTAGAGAAAGCTGACTTGGAGAAGGAAACAGGTGAGCTGGAGGGCTTCAGAGCAGGGCACACCGGGCTGAGGGTGGTGGAGTTGGGTGCGCTGTTGAGGTCCAGAGAACTTGAGATAGCACACAAATCATGGGCACAGCAGAAAGTTTCATTTTGGTGTGTGTTTGTTTCTTTCTTTCTTTTTTCTTTCTTTCTTTCTTCCCCCCCCCCTTTCTTATTGTTGTTTTTGTTTTGGTTCCAGGGATTAAACACTGGGTGCTTAACCAATGAGCCACAACCCCAGATCTTTTTATTTTTTATTTTGGGTCAGGGCCTCGCTGAGTTGCCAAGACTAGCTTTGAGCTTTTATTCCTGCCTTAGCCTCCTGAGCTGCTGGGATTGCAGGCAGGTGCCACTGTGCCTGGCAGAGTGTCCATTTTAAATGGCTAAAGCATAAACACTTTTTTCCCCACGTTTTGTTATTTTCTATGGAACCAGGGCACCAGCTCAACTCCTCCACTTGTGGCCGCATCTTCAGGGGAAGGAAAACGAGGACAAGATGTGGAGACTAGAGCCTCTGCCCTGTGGAGCAGGGATGTGCCAGGGTTTCTCTAGACTCCTGCCTCGGCCTTGGAGTAGGGCTTTCATGGTGGCTTCTACCTTACGGCCATCACATTATTAGAAGCCTGGCTCCTTCAGTCCCCTTCCACTGAAAGGGATGGGGAGGCTTGCAGTCACAGCTGCAAGGGGAGAAGGAGACAAGCCTGTGGAGGCACCAGGTGCACCCAGGAGGTCAGAACTCTTCTAGAAGTAGATGTCACAGAACCCACGCACGGCCTGGGGTGTGGCTCAGTGACAGAGAGCTGGCCTTGTATACATGAGGCCCTGGGTGCCAGTCCAGTCAGGCAAGGCTGTCCCCAGCCCTGGGGAGCTTTTTTACTGCTGTCTGTCTTTACAGGAAACAGAGTCTTTCTTGCTGAGGAAAAGGACAGTGAAGGCCGCATTCAGAAAAGAAAAAGGAAAAAAAAGAAGAGGAGCCACCCCCAGCCTGAGACTCTGGACCTGAGGGACACAGCCTCACCCTCAGCACAGAGCAGGGGCGGGGAGCCTGAGCCTGCTCAGAGGCAGGTCCCCCAAGTGCGAGCGGCCGAGTCCAGCACCAGGGAGGAGAGCAGCTCGGAGCACCCCGCCTCCGTCCCCACACGTGGCAGGAAGAATCAGCTGAAGAGAAAGAGCCTGGGCGCACAGGGAGAGATCCGGGACCCCACAGAGCTGCCTCTGGAGGACAAGGCCCAGAGTGGCCCTGGCAGCAGCCATCCTCATGGACCTGCTGCCAGAGGCTCCCCAACAGATGGAACCCAAGTCCCAAAAAGGAAGAGGAAGCTTGGAGTGCACCCTGTCAATGGCAGTGGTCAGACCACCTTGCCCCAGTGCAGGAGGCCACAGAAAAAGAAGGCAGAGCCCAGCAGCCTTGACCTCTATAGTCTGTCCAGTCAGAAGACAATTTTGAAAAAGAGGAAGAAGATGAAAGAAATGTCAAGCTTGATAGAATACAACGGAATACTGGGATCCAGAGTTAGACAGCTCCAAGCTCTGGTAAGGTGGGCAGGGCCCGAGGCAGGGGTGCCGAGGCCCTCGGAGTGTACACTGAGGAGCCCTGCTCCCCCTTGTGGCAGGGATTGGGGGTTGCTGGGCACGGTCAGACCTGCTTAGAAGGCGCTGTGATTTATAACATTCCTCACCCAAGCAAATGACAGGTGCCTGTCCAAGTGGCAAGTGCAGGTATTTCCCGGCTACCACCTCCACCCAGGCCACACGCTCCAAGGTGAGGGAAAAGTGGGCATGGGGCTGGGAGACCCCCTGAGTGAGCCCTGCTGCCCTGAGTGCTCACAGGCAGGTGCAGGTCTCCTTCCAGTGCTGGGCTTGGTTCTTCATCCAGCTGGTCCATCTGGGGCCTCTGGCAAAGGAGGGAACCCAGAGTTCTCCTACATGTATTAGGTTTTCCGTGAGAGGAACTTTCTCTCTGCTGATCTTTTGAGTCAGGTCTAGAGGAGGGGCCCGGCTGTGGGCCTGCCCTCACCCTGTCTCTTGGTGCACACTGTGCTTCCACGCGAGGGTGGACATGTGGTTTTGTGGGGACAGCTGTGCTATTCATGTCTGCACTGTCTGTGGTCACTTTCACTCCACAGTGACAGAATTAAGTGGTGTGACAGATCTAATGGTCCATATCAGAAAATATTTGCTCCCTGGCCCTTCAGAGGAAAGGCCTATTAAGCTTTTAGCACAAGCCTTTAGACCCATGACATGGCAGTGCCATGACACTGAGGCCTCCTGAGTGGCCAGGTGAGGGAGTGAGTTTGTGGTCGGTAAGACGCCTCAGAGAGACAGCAGGGCTTGAGCTGGACTGGAGTCTCTTCGTAGTGCAGGCTTGCCCAAGTGGTAGCGTGCCCTTTGCCTACTTGAGCTGTGCCACCCGCCTTCTCCAGGAACAGCCCAGACATTGTGTGGCTCACACCCTTAGCAACCAGTTTTAGGATTGCACAGTTGCTAAGTAATTCCCAGGGCCTGTGCCAGCAGAGGTGGGGAGCTCACGGGGCCCACGTCTGCTGGGTCTGCTGAGGGAAGACAGCCGACTTCAAGTCAGGAATACCAATGCCAAAACCACCCTGTGGCACCCACTATGCTGGGCTTCCCCTACCCTGGGCCAAACTAGGCCTCTGCCGGTGGGTTGCTGGCTACAGCCACCCCAGGGAGTCCTATAATGCCTGTGGGGACCTGCAGAGCCAGTGCTGGCACTGCCTGCCCTCCATGCCAGACCTGCAACCACATGACATTTTGGTCCCAAGTTAGAGACTGAGTTGCTGTTTAGCAGGTAAACTCTGAAGGACAAGCACTCTGCCCAGAATTTGGGTTTAGATATGCAGATGAACAAGTGGGTTTAGTTGCTGAGAAGAGATTTCTGTCCCCTAGTGGCGTGGTGCCAAGGTGAGCTGTGGCCTGCGTGTGAGGTCTCCTGTGCTGGCAGAAGGGCTCTTGGCACACTGACATGAGTCTGTTCCAAGAGCTCTTGCCTTGCTGGCCTAAGTCACATCCTGTGTGTAGGGCCTCACAGGTGGCTCTCTGGTGTGACCCACCCCCCTTGACCTCTTGCCCCTTGCACCTTAGGAAAGCAGCAGGACTGTTGCCCCTTTGAAGAAGCAGCCACTGAGGACAGAAAAGGATTTTGTGAAGTTTGACACCCACTTCTTACCAAAGCCCCTCTTCTTCAGAAAAGCCAAGAGCAGTGCTGCCCCTCGCCCTGCAGAGCGAGCCGTCCAGGTGCGCCTCCTTGGGGCATGTGTCCTCAGCTGGTGGTTTTGGGGTCTGGAAGCACACTGAGAGGTCACAGCCAGGGCTCAGGTGCCAGTGGGATGAGCGTGCTGCCGCAATGCTCCTCATGAGTGGAGCCTGACACGAGCATAGGGAGATGGGAACGGAGGAGAAACATGGAGGCTGGGTTCTAGGAAGGCTTTGAGGCAGTGCTTCACAATCAGAATGGAGCAGCCTCTAGGAGTTTCAAGTAGGAAAGAATGTCATTAATTTTGATGATCTAAAGTTCTCAGGAATAGAAGTTAGATAATTTGCATTCATTGCCCAATGTCGTTAGATTCCATTGTAGGTCTGTTCTAATTGATTTTGTGTAATCTGCAAATTAAAAATTACAAACTCTGGGACAAAACAGGTGGGGGTCACAAACATGTATCTCACAGACTTCAGATGTCCTGATCTTGTTCTGCTTCCTTCCCTGGGAACACTGCCTTGTGGCCAGGACTGAGCCAGGTGACCGTCCTCCAGCTGGGCAAGCTGTGTGCTGGGAGAGAGTGGTCCAAGCCAGGATGAGTGGTGGCAGGGTCTGCAGACACAGAGCAGGTGTCGATGTGGGCTGTGGTGCTGCTGGCCCTCTGGTCTCTGCAGACAGGCTGGGGCCTCCCTCCTGGATGAGCCCCAAAGAGCTCATTCAAGGAGGCGGCACCCGCTGCAGCACAGTGTGGCTTTTGTTCTCCTGCAGCTGGACAGAACAACCAGCAGCGCCAAGAAGGTCACCTTTGGGTTGAACAGAAATACCACCGCGGGTAAGTCGGGGCTTCCTCTTGGAGACATTTCTTCGGGACGGCACAGCTGGAGCCAGCCCAGGGTCCCCTGAAGATAGGGCTGGGGCTGAGGTGGAGGCCCCTCCTCACCTCTGCCAACACCCACTTTGTGCCCCCCACCTTCAGGGCTGCCAAGTGCTAGGGCGTAGGCGAGACAAGAGGCCAACTGCGGTGTCCTACTCAGACTGGGAGAGGGAGGAGGGATGGCCCCGCCTTGCTGGCTGCAAGTTTTTTTGTGGTGTTCAGTTTTGCACTGTTGGGACTGGAGCCTGGCCTCCTGTGTGATAGGCAAGTGCTCTGCCACTGAGCTGCACCACAGCCAAAACCATGTTTTAAAAAGTTGATCATGAAATGCACATAGTGGCTCATACACACTTATAATCCCAGCTACGCAGAGGCAGGAGAGTCACAAGTTCAAGCCCAGCGTGGGCAACTTAGGGGGGGACTCTGCCTCAAAAATAAACGGACTGGGGATATAGCTCAGTGGTCAGGCGCCTCTTGGTTCAACTCCCAGTACCCAAAAGAAAGAATAAAAGGACCTGCCTCTTATGGCCACAAGTACACGTGCCTGCCTTGTGACCCAGCCTGGTCTGTGGAGTGGGGAGGAGGGCTGCTCCTGTACCCGCAGCTGTGCTTCTCCCAGAGGCACCTACTGCCCAGCATTCCAGCCGCCTCCCCCAGAGCTCCCTTGGCAGCTGCCTGGCACTGGAGCACCTTGCTGCCTCTGCGTCCTCAGGGCCTGCAGGAAGACCACCCAGCAGCCCAAGGCAGGTTGAAGGACAGGCATCACCTGGTTAACATGGCCTAACCTTCCTTTGGGACAGAATTCAAGAAGACGGACAAGAGTATCCTGGTCAGCCCCACAGGCCTCTCCCGAGTGGCCTTCAACCCTGAGCAGAGACCCCTCCATGGAGTGCTGAAGACCCCCACCAGCTCTCCCACCAGCACTCCCCTGGAAACCAAGAAGCCGCTGGCCGCCACTCAAAAGAGAAGGCCAACGGCTGCGGACTTCTTCTGAGAACAGAGTCCCTTTTAAAGACTGCTTTTGTACAGAATATTCTATAAATTATATCTTTGAAAATATGGGCTTTTTTATCATTTTATAAATCCTGTTACGTCCCGATCCTGGGATGACCCGCAGCTTGCCCAGGGCTCACACGGGGCTGGGCCTTGGTTGACCATTAGCTGCCTGCCTTTGTGCTTCGGCTCTCCAGAATTCACTCTGCCCTCGGGGGCTGCCACCACATAGGAACTAAGATCGTGTGTCCCTCCCTTACCACACATTCTCTTGGCACCTGTGGCCAGCCTCCATTTCTCAGAACCTCAGTGCCCATCACCGGCCACCATGCCATGTTGCATCTTGGTTACTTTCAGTCTCATGGTTTGTTTTCTTTTAAAAGCCTGTGGACTCCATTCCCGCGTCCTGTGGGCATTTGACAGTTCTGATGGGTATGATTCTCCAAACCAAATCGGCAATACCCAGGCTTTCCTACCTGTGATCAGCAGAGGTGTGGACCAGCCAGGTTCCTCTGCCCTCAGGGCTGCTCACCCTGCCTGCTGCACGCCTTTCTACCTCTACAGCAAGCCCCAAGTGTCTTCTAGGGAGGGCCAGGTCCTCAGCTCCCACCCAGAACCCCACCCACACTTGAACCCCTCTGTGAATGGGACCTGTGTGAGAGCCCAAAGCCAGCTGCTGCCCTACGTTAACGGGCCCCCAGGCACAGGGGCAGTGTCTAGATCCTGAGCTTCTGCTGGGTGGGGAGCAGCCCCCAGGAAGGCCTGAGTACATGCTTGCTTGCCTGCTGCCTAGACAAGGCGCTCGGGCTTTTCGTCCTCTTAAAGCTTTCCTGACAAGGTAGTTCCAGTAGCAGCACTGGAAGGCATTCCGTTTAGTTGGAGAGGCTGATCTTTTAGAGCCAGACTTGTTCTTAAGGAAACCACCATGAGCGAGAGATGGCCATTTGGGAATGACTGTCACGAGGCCAGGTTTATGCAATTATAAATCCTAGATAAAAAGCAGTCAGGGGACATGGTTGGGCTGCCCTTCATCCTGCTCTGCTCAGGGACCTCAGGCCTCACCTTGGCCGGTGCCCTCCTCCACTCTGGCTCCCTGACAGGACCCCCCTGGTGGCTTTAATGGTCCTGCTGTGACTTAGTGCAGCTGAGAGGCCCCCTGGGGTTTGAAAACTGGTCTAATTTGGGTTTCATTCATTCACAGAAGTAGGGTGGGGCTTCATCTGCAAATAGGGTAAGTTGATGGCCTAAAGAGAAGGAAGCAGGGTTCCTTGGGTGTCTATCCCTTTGTCCTGTGCCACTCACTGAGCCAGTGGGGCTGTTCAGGAGTCCCCTGGATGTTGAGGCAGTCCTGGGACAGTGCACAGGTGTCCACTGCCATGTCTAGAACATGGGCTTCATGTGCCTAGGCTTAGGAGGCTCTGCCCAGAAGAGCAGCTGCCACGGGCCTGTCAGGACAGTAAGGCTTTGTCGGGATTTGAGTCATGGAAGAAGAGAAAGCTAACGTCTTGCAGTTAAGTAGCCATGTGGTGAGACCCTCCCGCACAGCGTAAAGGGGTTGTAGCTGCATGGTTTCAGGGTGTTCACTAAGGTCACAGTCAAAACCAGCATCACAAACCATGAGGTGAAGGGAACAAACGCTTTCAGTTTTTCGTTTTAAAATGTTCACTATTCTTGGCCAAAATATTTTTTAATAGTTTTCAGCTTTAAAGATAGGTCGTATGGCCAAAGATGTTGAGCTGCACCAGGGCAGTGGTGGTGCATGTGTTCTGGGGACTCGCCAGGCCTTCGGCATGTCCACAGGCCTGCCTGTCCTGAGCGCATTGCCAGCGTCAGACCCGTGGGGCTGTGCGCTTCTTGTGTCCTTTGTCCTGCAGGGTCTGGCTGACTCCATCGTGTGTGCTGGCCAAATAGGCTTCCTGTGGTTTGTTTTAATGCCTATATTTTGACAAGGAAGGATAAAAACTTTTTTTTTTTTTTTTAACTTTCATGACCTATACCACCCAGTAAGAATATGCTACATAAAGAATATGTGTTTTCTATTTGATGCATGTTGTTTTCCTGGTAAAATTGCCAAGGAGTCTTGAAAGTCTAGGAAAGGAAAATGTAAATGGATGCTGGTGATCATAGCAGCAATGTTTTGTAAAATGATCATCTCGCCCCTCCTCCATAGGTCTGGACAATTTTGTACAATTTGGTATCAGACTTGACAGATTTATTATCCTTTCTAACTTCTTAGACTAAAAGCACAAAAATGAATATGAGGAAACCCTGGAAGCAATTGTTATTGTCAGGAAGACTATGAAGTTGGGTCTGTCCTTAGATTGTTGTGTGTGTTTTCTCTCAGTTACCTACCTGTGCTGGCAAGGATGCTGTTTACGATCCAGTTGTATCCGTGTCTTCAAGGTTTGTCAGTAGTCCTCAAAGCTGCATACCTATTAAAAAAGGTGTCTTTGCCCTCAGATTCGTATTTGGTTTTTGACTGTGGCCACCAGGCCCACCTCATCACCCAGCGTCCCCAGGGCTGGCAGCACTGGGGGAGGCTGGTCCAGAGGCTGCAGCTCAGCACCGAGCCTCAGCACAGGAGGCCTCCACAAGCCTGCGCTGAGTCACACTGAATGCAGCTCAGTGGCAGAGCAGTTGGCCAGCATGCTCGCCCTGAGTTCCATCCCCAGCACTGCGCACACAGAACACACGCACGTCCAAAGGGGTTTCTTTGGCTGTGTGCCCATGAGGTCCAAGCTGAAGAGACTCCTCCTTGGAGCCTCACCTCCTGGGCACCTGCAGAACCCCCTTCTGTCAAGAGCCAATTCCCACACCTTGCCTTCTGCTTATCCTGTTTTGTTTTGTGGTACTGGGGAGTGAACCCAGGGCACTTTACCCAAGCCACATCCCCAGTTCTTTTTTGCCGGGTTTCTGTTCTCGCTCATGACTAAAAGGCTCAGGGTTTACTGAGCCAGTTGAACTGGGCTGACTGGGCTGCGCAAAATAACCACACGAGACACAGATACCTTTTTCTTTGGGTCGCTGTGACAGCTCCTCTGACCTTAAGGGTCGGCAGGAATAGAGAGCTAGAGCACATGCTGACCCTGCTGACCCCTTTTATTGAGGAGAAGCTATTCAAATGAGGCAAGGGGTCAGGGTTCAGGGGGCTGAGTCTATCTTGATGTCCACTGTCAGCAGGTTGACTGACACCTAGGTAGGCCACACCCAAAGGCACAGTAAGAGAAGGGGACACACACAAGGCACTTCCATGGAAGATTCTATCCTAAACAGGGCAAGGGATTATATTACAAAGGAACAGGTGAGCATAGCTTCACTCATGGGGCTGTAGCAAGACACACCCATGCACGAGACACGGACCCTCGGACCCAAGAAGGGTGGGGAAAGCTCTGTCACATTTCTGTGACTGAACACCTCAGCACCCAGCCAGGGAGTGTGACTCAGTCATGTGTAATGTTGGTCTCCCACACTTTTTATTTTTTTATTTTGAGACAGGATCTCACTAAGTTGTGGAGGCTGGATTCAAATGAGTGATTCTCCTGCCTCAGCCTCCCAAGTCTCTGGGATCACAGGTGTGGCCACTGCACCTGGCTATTCATTCCTTTAGACTGAGCTCAGAGTCAATTGTTGACGAAACTGCAGGCACCAGAGTGGCCTCCTCCCCACAGCCAGAGGAGGTCGATCCCCATTCACTCACAGTTCACGCTCAACTTTTCCCTGTTGGCCCCAGAACCACAGATCACCTTCAGTGACTCGTCTGAAGTTTGTCTTCTGGAGCGCCCACCTCACTGCCTGCCTTCCCTCATGACCATGCACCTTTAAAGTGTGTCTAACCTCGACACTACAGCGCCACCAATGACTCCACTTGCCCTGCGGATGGTCCAGCGGGGGTCCTGACCTTTCTGCTTTGTCCCAGGACCCCAGCAGGGGGAGTCCTGGAAGCCCAAGGCCTGCCACTGAGCCAGGCGATGGTATGGATCAGGGGGGTTGCCATGACAGGTCCAGCCTGAACCTCCAGCTGGCCCAGAGAAGAGCTTGATTTTCAGTTCTAGGAAAGAAGGTCTCCTCGCCAACACCAGGACCCAAATCCATTAGCACAGGGGCAGTGCGGGCCAGCACGTTCTGCCTGGATATGACCTGAGGAAGCCTGTTCTCACGTGGCTGAGGCACACCCCTCTTCTCCCTGGAGGTCCTACAGCTTCTCAAGGACAAAGGGTCATCCAACTGGCCTAGAGCTGTGGACCACCTGGACCTTGGGAGCCTGTGAATTCACAGGTTAGCACCACAGGCAGCAGAAGTGGCTGGTTTGCTGGGAAAAACCACAGAGCTCTGGAACAAGCTTCATTGTCTCTCTGACTCCACAACTAAGTATCACTTTCTATAAATGGAACATACGCCAAAGTTTCGTTTAAAAAACATTGCTGAATACAGAATAACTGAACTCAGGTTTGCTTCCCGCCAGAGCCAGGACAGTGCTGTGACCTGCTCTTCCACTAGAGAGCCCCAGGGCACAGGAAAGGTGGCAGAAGACCCAGCTCCCACAGAGCCCCAGCAGCACTCTCATCTGTGACACCTGCACCCGAGGAAAGCAAGCCCACCTGCTGTGATGACCCCCAGCAGGAAGAGGGTGTAAATCAAGGGCTTCCCTGGCTCTCTGGCAAGCACCTGGCATCTGCTGAGTGTCTGGGCAGTGCCAGGCACAGGGATATAGGCAGGGAGGACTGTGCTCCGGCTCCAGGCAGCAGAGGCACACTGAGATGGAAGTAGAACAGCAGAGCCCGGCAGCTGGAATGCAAGCCCACTGCACCGTCCACTCTAGTGACACATGCCGGGCATGGCAGTGCGCCTGCAACCCCAGCAGCTCAGGAGGCTGAGGCGGGAGGATGGCAAGTTCAAAGCCAGCCTCAGTAACTTAGCGAGGCCCAAAGCAACTTGGCAAGACCCTGTCTCAAAATAAATATTAAATAAAAAGAGCTGGGAACATGGCTCGGTAGCTAAGCACTGCTGGGTTCAGTCTCCAGTGCCAAAGATAAATAAATAACTAAATAGAGTAGAATAGAATAAAA